TTTAGGCCAATCTGCTTTACCATTAGAGCATGAAAATTTGAAATTTCTAGTATATCTCGAAAAAGTTGCACTGCACTCCAAGCCAACCAGTTCTTGAAATGAATTATAAAAAATATTAGTCCAAACATTGAACCAGACGTATCAAAAAATAAAGGGGAATTTTACATATTCATTGTGTAATACCTGATATATCTTTTCTCTCTTCCTCTTTTCTCCTAAGAGTTTTCAATTCCTCTTCCTCTTTTCTCATAAGAATTTTCAATTCCTCTATTAATCGTTGGAAACAATAGAAAAAAAAGTCAATAAACAGTATACCGAATAAATACATAAAAACGAAATTGAATGAACGAAAATATATATATATTTTTTTTTACGCAATTTGTTCATTACCTTGATATAACGCATCCCAGTTAGCTCTCCTTTCCTCATAACTTTTCTTTTCATTCACCAACATTTCCTTTTCATTCTCCAACTCTTCTTTCTCTCCTTCGTAACCCTCTTTCACCCTTCCTCTCTTTAAATTATCCAATTTCAACTTCACCTCCTCAATTTTTTTCACCGCCTGAACATATCCTTCTTTTGCTTCGTTTAATTCTTGTTTAATATTGTCAATATTTGCCATTTTTTTGGGAAAAAAAGAGCATAGCGGAAGTTCATTTTGATTGGTTGTTAAATACCCCGGAAAAAATATTGATCATTCCCGGATAAAGGGGATCGTTAAAGCCTTGTACCTACATAATTTTTTTGGTTTAGCGTTAGGGTAAGAGTGGTTTTATAGTTATAGATAAAATTGCCTCCCCGACATTTTTTATTAATGCAACAAGACAGATTTAGACCGCCATTTTTCATATTTTTGCGTTTTTTTTGATTTTTGACTTCTTCGGGTTGGTAAACAAATTTCATGATTTTGATTGGTTGATCTAAATATAAAAGTCACGTGAGTAAAAGAGCATGCGGATCCAGGGGAGACCGTCCCAAATGCAAATCTTACGTTTTTGATACACCTGCACATACTTTTTTGATACTGATCGACATGCAGATCCCGGTAAAAATAA